TACCATACCATATTACATAACAGGATGTGATTATGTAAGCCACAGAGACATTTATCAACATTTGAATCCTAAATATTATGGTTATATTTGTTAGGATAAATTTGACTGTTTGCGTTTATGTTTGAATCTGCTCTGATGAGCACAAAATCTGTCCCCAATTTCAAATTCAAGTTAGTTATATACAGTCTTAATGGAATCTAATCAGATTCGTCGCACAGTCAACAGAGCGATGCGCTTTAATCGAGAAATCAAATCATTACTAGCAACTAATCGGTGGTTACAGTCGCTTTCTGACGAATACATCCATCGATTCTTCCAGATACTGGATTTCTGCTACCAGTGGTTAAAATGCATCTGCTCTCGAATTCTTCGATGAATGTTTCGAGCATGGTGTATGGGCATATCACCGGAGATTATCTTGTACAGTGTGAGTTTAAATATGTAAAATGTGTATATAAATATGCTGACTATAAGTTATATTAGTAATAGAGTAATAGTCAATAGTAAAATATATTGTAATAATAATATATAGCCAGAGGGTATATACCTAATACATGTTTTAACATTTCACTAGTCATCATACTTTTTTACTTCTACTCTTTTGATCAAATCGTCAAATAATGGGGTCGAATTCTATTGAGACGATATAAATATGTATCATCTTGGATTCCCAGACAGTTTCGTTTCCAAACTTTATAATAGCGCATGATGCAGTATGCAATGAGGATAATTTTGTGTGACCTTAGCCCATTGATTTTGATTTCTAAATTTCGAACGACCTTTATCGTGGATATTGAAACAGATGCTAGTTTCTGATAAATATAATAGAGGCAATTTCTTATATCCAATCCCATTTTTTACTGTGCATTATAAATCTAATAAAGACGTAGAGGACCAGTATCAGATATCAAACCTTATCAATAATTAAAATAGTAATTTGTCTCTGTTGGTGGTACAGATGTCCAGGACATGTTTTATAATAAAATACAGGATATGCTCCAGTGATGCTATCTTCATCAATATCTTTATTATTTTCTCGTTATTTCACTTTCTCATTGACAATTACTTTGATGTATTTTTCCATTTGTTAAAGGGACCATCTCGTTTTCAATGAACGTGTGCAGCGGTCCCAGATTTTCCACAAAAAGAAAACTTACAGAAAAACAGAGGTTTCTGTTCTTGGCCTACTATTGAAATCATTTATATGATTATTCATATGTTCATCCAATCGTTACCTTACCTTGCCGTTGCTTTCGATAACATACATTTTGGTTTACCACAAATAGACACTGGTTAATAATTCGTGGTATAGTTCCTTTAATTAATACCCTAATAAATCAGTCTGGTGAGATACTGATCTAATTATCATAATATATTTATCATATAATTATCATGCCAGTATTACTTTCTGACCACAATGGACTCTTCGTTCACCATAAATCATACAGCAGATATCTGTCATATACCTGGTAGTTTATTCAATGCTTGCATGCTGTATAGGCTATAGCTGATTTACGATAAGACATAATTAGACATTGGAATGAATGATATCGTGGCGTCTAACAGTTCTTTTAAAAAGAAAACCAAGGTAGTATACCAGGCTGAAAAGAAATTCATAGGTAATTAATACATTAATTAATACAGTTAATTTGATGTTTCCCGAAAATGCATCTCCCCTTATTGAAAGGAACAACGAGCTACAAATCCATCACCAACAACACAATAATCAATCTGTTTTTCGAGAGACAAGCAAACTCCTGCCGTAGGTGTTAATGTCCATCAGGACTGGTGCCTTTTAGACAGAATTCTTGAGAGCAACGGAGGTTATTGGTAAAATAATTTGTAATATTTTTGCAATTGGTAATAATAATAACGATCAATTTGTCAAATTACCTCACCTGAAGTATAAAATCCTATTT